CAAGAAATCAACCCTAAAATGCCCCAACCTTTGGAAATAATTTAGAATGACTCAAGAATCTTATCAATTTTCCTTACTTCTGTGGTATCTTTACCTCATTTTCCTCTGAAGTCTGAAGCCAACCCTCCCACTGAGTCTTTCAGTTTCAAAAGACAGTACATTCTCTTCAGTGTGTAAACTAGATGGAGTTGGGTTACAATGTGACTAATAAAGGTGCCTCTTTATGGTTAAGTTTTTAATCCCATCAGACCAAAACTGCCCCTCTAAAAGCTTCCGTCCATTTATATTTCCTATGTGTATGAGGAGAATAAGACTGTTCCCAGTTCTGCATAATAGCCGTTGACGTATAGAATACAATCATGCCTACCACACACCAGGCTTTTCCTTGTATAACATATTATTTCTCAGTCTTCTGGCTAAGGTAAAATATATACATCTGGTATGGTTTCTAGGAACTTCATCATCTTGATTGCCTTTAGCTTATCTCTATCTGTCTTAATGAGGCTCACATAACCAAGTACAATGTTCCATCAAGGAATAAACGGAGACTTGTGCAATCTCGTTTCCAAATGATGGGGTCCAGGGCTTGGCCCAGGCCAGAATTCTCAGACTGGCCATGGAGGTGGATCTTCCTGGCTTGAGTCTGTGGCGCATAAAGCAAAGACAGTTGGTGACCACCTCTGATGTGAGAGTGGACCAGAAGTAAGGGACAGTATAAAATGTCAAGTAAGGGGAGCAGGCAGAGGGCAAGAATTGTACCTGAAGCAAAGATCAGTAATAAAAAATGGCTAATTAGGAGTGTCATCTGTTCTTGGTTACTTGTCTGTATGAGGTGAAGCCTGTATATTTCCAGTGACAGTAAAACGCAAGGACACAGGGTCAAAGAACTGAATCTTTTTTACAACATCCTGTCCAAGACTGGGCAGGGAGAGGAAAGTGAACAGTGCTAGGCTGGTTTGAACAGGACTTTTACTGCTTTGATCGGGATATTATATGTTAATATAGCCTCATACGGTGTTAGTTTTTTTTTCTAGTGCATGACACTGAGGGATCAGCTGAGATTGTGATCAACCAAAACCATCAGGTCTCTATCATATGAAACGTAATCATCAGCAGTACACAATTCTGCACTTCTGCAATTTATTTTTGCCTCTTAAATGTACGAATTTTCATTCAACCCTATTAGTTTTCTTTTCCAAGTATTCTACCTAGTTTAGTGCTTTGAAGTTAGACAGCCTGGGCTTGTAAACCAGCTCATCCATTTTCTGGCTATCTAACCTTGGGTAAACTGCTTTACCTTTTTAAGTTTATTATTTTTTTTAACTACTTTTCTTTTTTTTGTTTACTAATTATTTTTACTTTGCCCCTAATTTAGTCATGTGACATCCATTTTTCCATCCATTCACTCATTTACTCATTTATTCAAATATTTATTAAGTCCCTTCTATGTACCAGGCAGAAACCCTGGTGGTGTAGTGGTTAACTGCTATGGCTGCTAATCAAAAGGTCAGCAGTTCAAATCCATCAGGTTCTCCTTGGAAACTCTATGGGGCAGTTCTACTCTGTCCTATAGGGTCGCTATGAGTTGGAATCAACTCGACGGCAACGGGTTTGATTTTTTTGGTTTATGTACCAGGCACTGTTAGATATACAGTAAAATGCATTTTCTGGGGTCTTTATTAAACTCACTAATAAAATTATTGTGCAAAATAAATTCCAGGATCAATGTCTGGCTATGTCTCTTAACTCTAGATTTTTCTCTAAGTGGATAAGTAGATAGCAATCATTTAATGAACACACAGAGAGTATGGCTGTTGAACCTGATATAAATACAACTTAGTAAGCTGTTTCCTGGTCCACAGGCACATCTGTACAATTTTTTGTTGAATGCCTCACACAGGGCAGACCACAGAGCTCAGGGCATTGTCAGTATGATTAATAGAAGAACAAGAAGCAATACATTGACCATAGGTATTCTCTTAAAGAGTGCCACTTGTTAGCCCATATTTTGTAGTACTCATCTTCAGAATACAACTTTATGAACCATCTTATTGCCATAACTTATGACTTTCTCACAGAAATCAGATTTTTGTCCAGAAATATACATACAAACCGCGTAAATGAGGCTAGAACATACTTTTCCTAAATGCATCAGAAACACTATCGAATGTATGTTTAAGGTAGCAGTGATTACTTCTCCTTTCTTAAAATCCTTACTTATACCTCTATTTCTTCTCAAGCCAAACGTGCTTTTTGAGATTTGGTTGCATGACGCAAGCTTCTGGCAGTCTTTCCGCTAAACCAGCTGTCAACAAACGAAAAACAAGCAGACTCTCAACTGCACAGTATGTATCAAGTCACGAAATTCTATAAAAGGAATACTTGATTTGATCTTCAGTGGTCAGGGTCTGGCGGCGGAAAGTGATTATAACTACATCCGGTATTTATAACAACCTCACTCACTCACTGTCTACCAGATTAAGAACCTTGGCTCTACTAAGATGTACCTAGCCCTATATTTAATTACTGTGAATTATGTGTTGATTATTCACACTGCAGATTATCTGCAATACATTTTGTTTGTCCTGGGCCAGCTTCTTCTCTTATTCCCATAAGCCACTTTCTCCCAGGAGGAAAGACAAATTAATTCTGATATTTGTGTAAATCAGTGGTTTTCAAATAGGAGTAATTTTGCCTCCCAAGAGACATTTGGCAAAGCTTGGTGCCAAATTTGGTTGCACTGGGAATTGCTATTGGCATTGCTATTGGCATGGTAGAGGCCAGGGGTGCTGGTAAACATCCCACAATGCACCGGACAGTCCTTCACAACAAATTTATCTGGCCCAAAAGATCAACGGTATCGCGGCTGAAAACCTTGGTCTAAATAAAGCATCAAATGAGGAGGCAATTAATAACTAACAAACATATTTCAAATTGAAGTATAAGTGATTTTGGAGCTATCCTCCATTTTGAATTTGCTATTCCACAGCTTCCCTCTATAAACAAGGATAATGAAGCATTGAATATACATTTATTATTCTCTGTGCATGTCTTTCAATTGTTACTGAAGAGTTTGTAGCCTTTGAATTAGAGTGGTAGACACGCGTTCTTTTCTAATGAGAATGTCTGATGTTGGCCATTTATAAAATGGCTGAGGCATATTATGGGCAGTAGAAATTTATGTGAAGAATTTCTCATATAGGATTAACTAAGAGTATGGAGAACATATTCAGTGTGAAATCTTTTGGATTCCAAGAGGGTCAAGCCTCTGGATTTTTTGGTTTCTGCATGTTCATCCAATTTTTATATGCCCTTTATATATCTCAAAGGCCTATTTCATTATTGTCCTTTGATCCTGATTAACTGAGTTACTTTGCAAGCTCAGACTTCAGTTCTGCATGACTGGACAAATTCTTGACATGAATTTTACTTTCTCATCCTCTTACTAAGGGTATTGTTAGTATTGATAATTTTAAATTGCTTTGATCGTTTCTTTCAGGAATGAGCTTGCATTGCTCTAAATTTACATATTTTTGACAGCTCTGGAAACAGTATTTCTTGTTTTAAATTAATTCATTATTATATTTTATTTGGGAAAATTTAGTCAATACAAATTTATAAGCAGGCTCCTTGTAGAGACACGTCTTCACTTCAGTGCTGCTGGTCTCCGCTTCAAACTTTAGGTAGCTTACTGCATCCTGTATTGAGGGTTCAGTGTCTAAAGAGTCTGCTTAAGGGGCCCAGAGAAACATGCTCCTATTAATAGTCCATCTAGGAGGTAGCCACATGGCTGGTTCAGAATCAAAACTCTGAATGGCATCTAAGGGAATAAGATGTGTTCCAGGATCCTTGCAGTAGTTCTAAGCCATGCTAGAAGATCCTAGTGGAGCCAAATCATACTTCTTGTGAACTTTGAAGTATGAAGTAGAGAGTAGGCCCTAGGACCAACATGCTGCCCTGTGCGTACACTAACATAGTATACGCTTTAAGCTTCCAGCCTAGATGGAGAATGTGTGAGGTGACTTTGCTTCTAAAAGTCAGGCCTAACTCAAACCCTGGTCCTCTCCCCAAAACCCTGTAAACTCTGAAGTGGCTGGGTCTAGAAAGATGACTGGATGATTCTTTTTTCCAGCATTTCCAGAAAGCTGCTGACCTCACCTTGGGAAAATGTGTTCAAAATCCACCCTAAAGTATGCCTTCTTACTGACTTTGCCTCCAACTGAAATAAAGTGTAACACAATTGTCATTACTTAACTTGACTATAAAATTAGTTTGTTAGAATAATAATCATGGGAATGATTTCCATAAGAGCTCTATTAATCAATTTTTAAAACATAGCAGAAACATAAAATTTTAAAAGTAAATATGGCAGACTTCTTAAGTCAACTCATAGTGAGAAAGCTATGAAAGAATTTTTTATAAACACTGGGATGCCACAAGTCTCTACAGGTCAATATAGAACTGTGTAGTCAAACTGCTACATGGTGGTTAAGAGCAGGGTCAAGGTGACTTGAGTTAAACCCTGGTTTTGCCACTATTAGCTAAATGACTTTTGAGAAGTTATTTAACTTTTCTTGGCCTCAGTTTCTTCATCTTGAAAATGGAGATAATACTGGTACTTATCTCATTGACTTTTGGGAGTATTAAATGACATAGTGTAGGTAAAATGCTTTCTCCTTGCCTCAATAAATATTAGTTTATATTTACTATTCTTATATACCAAGCTAGAAACCCTGGTGGCGTGGTGGTTAAGAGCTATGGCTGCTAACCAAAAGGTTGGCAGTTCGAATCCACCAGGTGCTTCTTGGAAACCCTATGGGGCAGTTCTATCCTGTCCTGTAGGGTCACTATGAGTCGGAATCGACTCGGTGCCAGTCGGTTTGGTTTAGTTTTATACACCAAGCCAGAAATAATGTTTTGAACCTCTGTCTAAAGAATATAACCGAAGCATGACAAAATCATCGTACTTAGTAAGTTTTATTTAATACTATGGATAGATAATCTGTAGTCATTTTTTCACAAATTTATGTGTCATCCTTGCCCAGGGGCCACGCTCATCTTCTCTGATAGTTTCAATTTTAATATATGAGCTGCTGAAGCAAGTGCTTTAGTCATTTTTTAAATGATTACTTTTATTATCTTTTTATATAAGGGAAAGCGTATTTACCCTTTTAAAATTTTGCAAGCATATCATCACTACAGAAATTTAAGAATATAGGTAAAAATTAAAATTAAATCATCTGAAATTTCACTCTACACAAATAAGTAGCATTAATATTCTGGTATATATTTGTCACTATTTACCTCTTCCAACCATATATATGTAAAATGGAATCCTATTATGAATTCTACTTTCTAACCATTAAAAAAAAAAACTTTTACCTAGGTAAGCACATTTCAGTAGAGATGGCAAACAACCATGAAGAAAAGAGGCAGCAAACAAATTGTCTATTTAAAAAAGGGTTTGGTGGGGAAGAGTGAAGGGAGAAAAGCCAAAATGACTTGTTTTTATGAAGACCACTTCATCTGAAGACTAATTCTTCTTCAATCTACAGCTGTCCTAATCCTAAGAATTACGGTAGCAACTCAGCCTAAGCCTAATTGTCACTCCTTATGGTATCTGAAAATAAACATAAATAAATGAAAATCTTGTAAAAAACACAACTCTCAACCAAAACTAACAGAAATGACTACTTAGAAAGGGAGGGAACAAGGTGGTGAGGTCAGGAATTGAAAGGGGACTTCTCTGATTGTTATCTTATTATTTAGTTTGTCCAGCTAAACATATAAATGCTTCACATACTTAAAAAATAAAATATATTTAAAAGCAAATGATAAAAATTTAAAACAAATTGAAACGAATCTAATTTGAACTGAAATTAATGAACTGAAACAAATGAACTTAATATCAAGTTGGTAACACAGAGACACAACTAAAAAGACACAGAAAATAATTGTTTCAAGGGTATACCTTAGTGGAGCATATTCTAAGAACAAACAGAGATATAAAGAAATTCTTAACTGTATTCAGTAATCTAATTGTTAGAGGTAATATTGCTATTATTATTTTGAAACTATTTTAAATATACTGTACAGTAATACAATAAGTAATTATGTTGATAATAGAACAAAATTTTTCAGTGTAAGAGAACCAAGTAGAAAATAAAAAAAAACCTAAGTAAAAAAATCCTATAATGTTACATTTGAATTGGAAATATCATTATTAACTAGTTGTCTTAGTTACCTAGTGCTGCTATAACAGAAATACCACAAGCAGACGGTTTTAACGAAGAGAAGTTTATTTCCTCACAGTCAAAGTAGGTTAAAAGTCCAAATTCAGGGGTCAGCTCCAGGAGAAGCCTTTTTCTCTCTGTCGGCCTTCTTCTCTTTGGTGTTCCCCCAGACTAGCAGTTCTCTGTGCAGGAACCCCGATCCAAAAGAAGCGCTCTGCTCCCAGCACTGTTTTTTTGATGATATGAGGTCCCCAACTCTCTGCTTGCTTCCCTTTCCTTTTATCTTGAGAGATAAAAGGTGGTGCAGGCCACACCCCAGGGAAACTCCCTTTGCATTGGATCAGGGATGTGACCTGGGTAAAGGTAGTGTTACAATCCCACCCTAACCCTCTTTAACATAAAATTATAATCACAAAATGGAGGCCAACCACACAATTCTGGGAATCATGGCCCAGCCTAATTGATGCACACATTTTTTGGGGAAGATAATTCAAACCATGACACTAGTCAATTTTTTTCTTTTTCAGATATACAAATTTCCTAGCACTGCCTACTGAAAATGTGTAGAAACAATGACAACCTGGTAGCAATGATGAAAGACTTAATTCAGGCAAAGATCATCATTGGATGAAAATGTTAGTTGAAAGACTGATAGGGAACTTTAACATGATGGATCAGGCAATTGCCACATGACTGATCAATCTTACCATCTCCAAAGTGGTACAGCCAGACATCATGTGCCTCTTGACATGATACACACAGCACTTCTAAAATATTCTTGTGCGGGATAAAAGTTGACCCTGAATCTAATCAAGTCTTTAGAGTTAACTTTCATTTATAAGAACTACAGGGAATAAAGAAACAAGTTAAATGATACCACAAGGAAGCAAACATTTCCCAGGCAATTTATCCAGTTTCTGCAACTAGTTAATGGCAAGGGGAAAAGGGAAGGAGGCGTGACTTCCAGACTGAAAGAGGCCAAAAGGCACAATGACTAAATGCAGTGTGTTTGGATCCTGATTCTATTAACTGTAAAAAGACATTTTTGAGACAATCAGGAAATTTGCTTATGGATTGGATATTAGAAGATGCCAAAAAAAGTATTGTTAATTTTGTTAAGTGTGATAAGGACATTTTGATTACGTAAGAAAATATCTATGTTTTTTTATATTCATACCAAAGTATGAGATAATAACATGATACAATGTCTGGGATTTAGTTTAAACTATTTCAGCAGAGGGGGGAAAAAAAAAGTAGATGAAACACATGTGGTAACATTTTTAATAAGTGTTCAATCTGGGTAATGTACATGAAAGTTTATTATATAGCCTCTCTACTCTAGAATATATCTAAAATTTTTTCAATATAATTTTTTTTTAATTTAAAATTTTATACCTATTCTGGTTAAGATTAAAAAAAAAACCATCTGCCATTGAGTCGATTCCAACTCATAGCGACCCTATAGGACAGAGTAAAACTGCCCCATAGGGTTTCCAAGGAGTGGCTGGTGGCTTTAAACTGCCAGTCTTCTAGTTAGCAGTTGATTTCTTAACCAGTGCGACACCAGGGCTCCCTGGTTAAGACTACTGTGTAACAAATCAACTCAAATGTAATGGCTTAAACTACAATAATCATTTTATTATCTCTCATATTTTCTGTGGATCAGAAGTTTGGGAAGGGCTTGACTGGGCAATTCTGACTCTTAAAGTTTATCTTGTGATGGTGGCTAGAGCTATAGAGCTGTAACAGCTGGATGTGGGGAGATAAGGGATGGGTTGGGAGCCTGGAGCAGCTGGAGGCTGACCAGACAGATCTTTCGAGTTCTCTCTATCTCTCTGTCTTCCTACATAGTCGCAGACCCTTTCCATGTAGTTTCTCCATGTAGGTGAGTTTCTTTTTTCTCACACATAGTAGCCTCAGGGCAGTCAGTCTGCTTACTGGGCAGCTGATGTCTTTAAGAGTTAGTATTCCAGAACAAAGGAGAAGCTGCTTCGCCTTTTACACTCTAGCCTGGGAAGTCACATAGCCTCATTTTCTCTGTACTCTATTGGTTGAAGCAGAATCAAAAGCTAGCCTATTTGCATCTCTTGGTGCAAGGAATGTCAAATAATTTGCAGACATAAAGCTGCTACATTATCTTTAATAGTCACATACATCTGGTGATCAACCTCCAACCCAAAAGGCCACGAAAGTGTTGACAAAGGCCATTGCAAATGTTACTCGTAAGTGGGGACTTTTCTGATTCCTAGGACAATGGAACAACTGATTTCTCTTCAAACTGCCATATACCTTACATACTTATCTTAAAACTTCATAACTTGATATGTCTAAAATTGCCTTAAAGATATCACATGTGAAATGCCCAGCCCGGTACGGTATCCATCATAGACACTCCATAAATGGTGGTGGTGTCTAATCCTTGTTTGAATTCCTTAGAAGTGTTTATAGTTTGAGCACACCATTAATAAATAGTAGTTGGTGTAATCTTATGATTCTCTGAAAGACATGTCACAGTTACAGTTTGAAAGAAGAATGGAACCTCTCTAAAAGTTATAAAGTGTAAAATTCATCATAAAGTGTTGTAGTTGGGTGATGCTTGGTGATAACAGGGGTGAGTTGTTTCATAGACCAGAGCGCCTATTTTGTTCTGTTTTGTTTTTACTTTCTATCAGCTTTCTTCTTTCCCAGATTGCCTGTTGAAACTTCCCTAAGCAACATAAAAATAGGAGTATTTTCCTCATGTGAAGTTGAATGCATCATGCCAAAGCTTTTATAGAATACTAATGGTGTTTAGAATCCAATCTGTTTTAAAATATCTCTGAAGATTAAGAAAAAACAATACACCAGATTTTTAAGACTTGAAAGTATTTCTTTGATCTATAAAACAATTAAGATTTTTTCTTTAATCTTAAAGGTCAGAGATGACCTTAAATTGTGGTATTAGACACTAAAATTCATTTGTAACGTAAATTAAAGTGTAATTTCCCAAACTAATAGAAATGTTAATCAGATAAAAACTATAGCTATTTGCCTTAGTTATCTAGTGCTGCTATAACAGAAATACCATAAGTGAATGGCTTTAACAAAAAGAAATATATTCTCTCACAGTTACGATGCTAGAAGTCCAAATTCAGGATGCCAGCTCCAAGGGAAGGCTTTCTTTCTCTGTCGACTATTCAGGGAAGGTCCTTGTCATCAATCTTCCCCTGGTCTAGGCGCTTCTCAGTGCAGGGACCCTGGGTCCAATGGACATGCTCCCCTCCTGGTTCTTCTTTCTTGGTGGTAGGAAGTCCCTCTCCTCTCTGCTCATTTCTTTCTTTTATATCTCAAAAGAGATTGAGATATAAGATACAACCTAATCCTATAGAAACAAACTAATCCTATAGATTGAGTCAAGCCTCATTAACATAACTGCCTCTAATCCTGCCTCATTAACATCATAGAGGTAGGATTTACAACACATAGCAAAATCACTTCTGATCACAGAATGGTGGACACCCACACAATACTGAGAATCATGGCCTAGCCAAGCTGACATGCATTTTTGGGGGACACAATTCAATCAATAACATTCCACCCTTTAGCTCCCGAAAATTCATGTCCTTGCCACATGTAAAACATATTCACCCCATCATATTACAGCAAAAGTCTTAAATCAACTCCAAGTCCAAAGTCTCCTGGAGCAAATTCCCTCTTCATCTGTGAAATCTAGAATGTAAGTTATGTGCTTCCAAAGTATAATGGTGGCACAGGCACAAGCTAGACATTTCCATTACAAATGGGAGAAATTAGAGGGAAATAGGGGATAACAGTCACCAAGCAAGTCAGCAGAACACATTATATTAGCTCTTAAGGCTTTAAAATAATCC